TTTACATGTGAAGTAACCACAGCTTCTAAGGTCAAGAGGTGGGGCCTAAGAGGTAGTGAGAGCAAACACCTACACAGCTCTGCCTGCAGGTGACTAGTCTTAAAACATTTCATATACATTAACTGATACAATCTTCCACACTGTGAAGCAGGTACTGTTACTGGCCTCATTTTTTATTTTGATTTTTATTTGAAACAGGTCTCATGTAGCTCAGACTGGCACCTAACTCCTATAACCAAGGCTTATGAATTTAAAACTCCTGATCTTCCAACCCTCCTTTTAAATGCTGGGATTACAGGCCTGAGTTACCTGATAAACTGAAGTCACAAAGACCTAAGATTGCATATGGCTAATAAATGACAGATCAAGGATTTCAACTCCAAAGCCTAGGCTTCTAAGCACTCTAAGCAGCAGCATCTCCAGAACACAAAGCAGCAGAACTAAAGCAGCAGACAGGAATAAGGAGAACCAAAAAAAAGAAAATAATGTTTTAAACTAGATTGTGTTAAAGAAAAATAATGAGCAAAACAGTCAAGTCAGAGGTTCTCTTCCTGTGACAATCCACAAACACTGCAGCATAACAACTAACACTAGGTATTAAATTTAAAAAGAAACTTACCAGGCTGGAGTGATGGCCCAGCTGCTAAAAGCACTTACTACTTACTCTTGGAGAGGACCTAGGTAGGTTTCCAGCACCCACAACCAGCCCTAACTCTAGTTCCAGGGGATCGAACTACCTCTTCTGACCTTTGTGGATACCAGGCATGCACATGGTACACATACAAACACACATGAAGGCAAAACACTCATTCACTCAAAATAAAATAAATCTAAACACACACATACACACTGAGCTGGGTCTGGTAGCTCAAATCTGTAATCCTAACTATTGAGAGAAACTGAGACAAGAGTATAGCAAGTTCAAGGCCAATCCTGATAACTTAATGAGATTCTTAAACTTTAAAATTTAAAACCTGATTTTTTTTTTTTGAGACATGATCTCACGTAAATCAGACTGGTCTAGAACTCCATGTCACCAAGGCTGGCCTTAAACTTCTTCCACATCCTCCTGTATTCCCTGTGTGTTAAGATTACAGAAATAAACAGTCTAAGACCACCAATGTCCCAAGGTAACTAACGAATGAAGAGGAACTCTGACACCCTGAACTTACAATACCAGCATTGGCAGACAAAGCTGAATGCCACTAATAAAAACACTTCAGTAAAATATTTTGGACAGAAGAGATGAGCAACTAAAAGTAGAAACTCAGGAGGGGCAAAACATCATGTGACCAGGAAACTTGACACTGCAAGAGGGAAGAGGGAACAGAAATAAGCTACTATTTGCAAACAAAGAAATACAGGAAGATGAGGAAAAAGACTTTAAGTCTGGACTCATTTTAGGAGATGATTTCCTAATTGATGGCAAACTTTCCACAGCTGCACTAAACAAACTGATAAGGCGAAGCAAGGAGCTTAACAATAGTTTCAGTGAGTTCAGATTTGAATATGGCTGGCCAGGCAATAAAGAAAATCTTAAAACATGAAGGCCTATAGGATGCCCAGAAAATGAGAATGGTAACCCTCAAACATTACCAAATTCGTTAATTCAACAAATATTTATTAAAGGAATACAGATGAGCATGCCAAGTCAAAATCCTGGATTCACAGGACTTATGTTCTTTCAGGGGAAACTAACAGCAAACATTTTGCAAAGACTGAAAAGGCACTATCCAAGAAATACAGAATAGCCCTTTAACATTGAGGAACACAGAGAGCTGCTTATAGGAGAAAAGTGCACCCAAAATGAACTGTTCCCCTTCATAAGAGATCTTGTGACCTAAAATGATTAAATGTTTTTTACCCTCTTTAAAAAAAATTAAAATGAGAGAACTCTATTTAAATTGTAGCACAATAAATCAAAGCAGTTTGACATGAGCTTCCAAGCTCTATCAGTGCTCCTTCCCAAAAAAAGAGTACATAACTTTGCAAATTTAATGGCTTTTAGAGAAATTATTTTTATCAGTGAACACAAAAAAATAACTAGAAATGTTTCTCTCATAGATCATAAGATAACAAGTGAGGCAGCATTAACTGGACTCAGCACATTACAAAACAGGACAGAGTTGGGAGGGGAATATGTTGGGGACAGGACTGGGTGGCAGAGGAGGGAAATAGGGATGAATATGATCAAAATATAAAACACTTTGTATACATATATGAAAATATGAAAGAATATAAACATTTAAAAAATATTTCAAGTGCAAAAAAAAATCCTAAGAAAACAAATCCTGACATTTTTTAAACTTTGTAAACTTCAGGATTAATCTTGATGGGCTTGCTTAGATTACTAGTGAGGGGAAATGTGTTTACTAAGCACAGGGATTTCTCACAATATGAAAACATCTTAAGAGAATTTAACAAGACACCTTTGGGTCTTGAACGAATTACTGTGTATATATACATATATGTGTGTATATATGTATATATATATGTATATATATATATGTGTGTGTGTGTGTATATATATATATATACAAGCTCCTTTTTAATACTCAGTTAACTACCAATCTCTTATTTCCTTGCCTCAGTCTAAAACTTAAAAATCCAAACTAATTGTTTCTTTTTATTCATTATTACTGTGTATATTTATAAGTGTGTACACATGCACGATAGCAAAAAGTGTAAAGATCAGGGGACTGCTTTTGTTTTGCTTTGTTTTTCAAGACAGGACCTCTCTAGCCCTGACTGTACTGGAACTCTCTATGTAGATGAAGGTGGCCTCAAACTCAAGAGATGCTCCTGCCTCTGCCTCCCAAACTCTAGGATTGAAAACATGGACCACTAAATGCGGCTAGATCACAACTTTTGACAATCAAGAGTCTCTCCTTCCACAATGGGTTCTGGGAATCCAACTAAGTAGTCAGGCCTGCCTGACAAGTGCTCTTTATCCATTGAACCATCTCACCAGCCCAGACTATGTAATTCAAAAGAAAAAAAATGCAAACTGGTGCACATACAAACTTTTTAAATATAGAAGGCTAAAAAATACTGTAGAAGATAAGTGCTCCAATTTTATACTCCTAGGTCACATTAAGGATAACAATGTATTTTGGAAGATTCAGCGCCATATCGATGAACTACAGGAAGCCAATCTGAATAAACCACTCTGGTGTTTCTTAACAAGCAATGCTATTTTCTATATAAATGAGCAATAATGGGAAAACTCTCAAACACGAGCCACCCTTACAAGGATGCACTGCACAATTGCATCTCATTTACTTTGCAATGTTAATATTCAACACTGCTGCATTTTATAATCAAAGGACACAATTCTAGTGATACAAGAAATCTAAAAATATTACTCAAGTTTTGGGGGTTAAAAATGAAAACCAAGTGTGGTAACTTAAATAGCTCATTTCTGTAATCTCAGCACTTGGGAGACAAGACACTTATTCTGTCGGTTTCCCCTGACAGAACATTTTTAAAAGTCCTGTAAAGAGAGACTTAGAAGGAAGGAATGTCCCTTTAAGTTCAAAGCTAGCCAGGACTAAATTTGGAGACCCTGTTTCAAAATAAAAACTAAATTCAAAAGCCATTTATAATGGTAAAACTAAAGCATGCAACTTTAAGTTGCAATCCTAACAAAGACAAATCAGGTATATAACTAAATTCTCTTTGCAGCTCACTCTAAGGTCACTATGCGCTGAATTTAGGTTCCTTGACTCACAATTAGTGTGGCAAAGAACTGTTCCCACAACAAAGTTGACCCGAGTACTGCCAAGGGGCCCTTTAAAGTTCATGCCTACCCAAGTGGCTGCAGACAGTGTATCCTCTGGTCAAAATAACCTAACCCTAAGATTTTTAAGCTTCCATATTTTAGGTGCATCTCGGGCAGCCATCAAGGCAAAATGATTTCAACGACAAAAAAAAAAAAAAAAATACACCATCTTACTCTGGACCGACGTGCTGAGTAGAGTGACCCACTAAGCAAGATGTTGTCTTAATTTGGTGAGCCCTGACTTGTAGGAGTTAAAACTCTCACCCCTTCTGCTGCGATGACGTAATCTTCAACACGGCATTTCTCCCGGACTTAAAGGGGAGGAAAGAGGAATTTTTAAAAAAACCAACAAAGAAAATTTCCTGCTAGTTATGAGGAACCGAGCAAGAGGCCAGGCGGGGTTTCGGGAGGTGCTTAGGCAGGTCCCGGAAGGCGAGGAGGCCGGCCCAGTCGCGGGAGCCCAGGGAGCCGCGGGGCAGGAGCGGAC